AAAACTGATCTGGATATTTTCTTGAGGTGATACCTTATGTTATGACTAATTATTGTAAATTTTTTGGTCTCCCGATTAATTTGGCCTCAAAAACATGCGTGATGCAATACTTATGACCGTCACTGTATGTACCGGACACGTATTTAGCTGCCTCCCTGTCCTCTAGTATAGGCGGTACGAACATCTGGAAATGGTTGAGGTTGTCGTCGAATACCATTAGATTGAGTTTGTCTTTGCCATACCCGGCCTTCGCGAGGGTCGGACCCAAATTGAGTTTCACGAAATCCCGTTCATTAGGGCCGGTTAGGTTCAGGCAGTTGGCGTTGAAGTTCGGGTCCGCACCCTCGATGGGCTCGTTCTCGACGGTTAGTCCCCATAGGTTTATGTCATGTGATTTGTATGCGTCTAGAAATCTGTAGTAAATCCAAGGGTTAAGTGTTTTTGATGTGTTTAAAGCATATATGAAATGCAAATTACTTCACGAAATAGTTGGCCCACGACTGGTAGTACTCCCCGCCGACAGTGCCCCTCAATTCCCCGCTATTATTGAATTTGTGGTTAGTCTTCATCCAAGAGGGGGGACTCCAGGGGCTGCCGAAGAGTTTTATTTTATGCGGACTTACTTTCAGTGCTCTTTGAATGTATGGGATCTACGGATCAGTTATTATGTATTAGTTGTGAATACAAAGTATGATTAATTAAATTTAATAGTTTTTGCATACTTTCCACTCCAAGTCCTCCTTTTGAAGGGCAAAGTGTTTGAGCTCCAGATCATCGTCGACGTCATCGTAAGAGTAGGCTCTGTACGAGTAGTCTGTGCCGGCCATCGGTATTCTGGCCATTGAGTACTCGATGCCATTGTCCGAGAAGTAGCTATCAATGAGCAGATCCGCCAACGATTGGTTGACTGTCTTTAGCATCTGTCCGGTGGTGTCAGTGAAAGCGCCGCCAAATCCAAAGATTGTCTGATATTTCTGTGTCTTATCGATAGTCACGACAATCGTTTGATCGGCCGTTGAGTCGATGGTTGAGCCGAACTGGAGTTCCGTTTCCTTAAACCTTTCTCCGGCTTTATTGCTCTCATAAACCGTAAGGAAACCACTCTTTGGGCGCTTGAGGGCCGGGAAGTCATCACAATATGTTGAGTTACAGACACAGACTGTGTCCGCGTTCTCCACTTTTCTTACGATACATTCCCGTCGGGCGCCGACTGTTTGTATTTAAATCAATGATAATTTCTCTCAGAATATAATTGCAATTAAAATTTTTTATAAATACCATTTATAGCAAAAAAGGTTATAACGAGTAAAACACTAAATATTTTATACATATTTGTTGCCAACACTTAACATACAGTATATCAAAAACAAAACTCTTCCCTATTTATATGATTAGGTTTTATCAATAACTGTATTTCAAACACAATTCTGTGAAGTATTTTCAACACTTAATATTATTTTCAAATCTTTGATAGTTTAATAGGTCTTATCAATTACGGTACAGTATTAAGCATTATAAAGTAATGGTGAGGTTGTTTATGATTGTAACTGTATTTTAAACAAGTTCCCCGTAAGTGCATGCTTGATAAAACAATAATTTTAATCATTTTAACTTTTTTAATAGTCTAGAATAGGAATTGACTTAAACCTTGACAATTAAGGTGCACTTAATATGCATTTATATTTAAAATATTTGTTAAATTTATTAAATTGAAATTTTTTTCGGTGAGTACATGAGCATATTTGATAAAATTATTATCTCCGCACTTAAACATACTTTAGACCATGCACAATTAATAGATAATATACAGTAGTGTACATTTGTCAATGACTGCTATTTTCAACCAGGTTCCAGGTATATAAGTTAGATGGTTGATAAAACTATATTTTTAATCGTTTTAACGTTCTTAACAATGTAGAGTAGTACTTGACTCAGGCATATATCATTTGAAACCTTGACAATAAATGTGCACCAATTCAATTTATTATAATATAACAATTAATATTGATAATATTTGGTAAATAACTTAATTACTGACCATGGTCACGCTCCAGGTCGTGGCGTATATTCCTATAATCACTCTAAGAGACAATAAATTGGATATTATTTTAGGAGGAAAGGGATGATAAGGCAGTTCAGTAAATAATACTTACGGTATATTAATAACTATTCCCTGTAATATTAGTAACAGTTTGTAAACATGGTAAATTTTTCATAAAATGGTTTTTTTGTACAAAATAACTTAAACTTTTTTCTAGTAATTTGTTAAATGTTTGTTTTTTATGCCTTTACTTAATAAAATTATTTTATCTAATATTTAAATACAATTTTTTGAAACAATTTTTAATTAAATGTCTTCTCGTAGCAAATATTGAGTAATTTATAAAATTATAGAAATTGTTAAAAAGTTATTATAATTATTAAACTTTATTTGAATAAAATTATTACAAGTATTCACCAAATATACGACTGAATAGAATGTGCGGGGATTTTATGGGAGACCTTACGACTGGACTCTTGGATAGTGAGCACAATATCGTCGGCGCGTGTATTGAGTGCCACCAAAACCGTCTGATTGTCGGGTCTCTGGACTGTAAGGACCGTAAAACTCGGCACAGATTTGTCGACTGTGTGTCCGATTCGCACCGATTCTGGAGGAATAAATTTGCTGAAGTGTCCGAGCGCGTAAAACGAGGGCTGTTTGTAGGCCTCCCCCCTATACGGGTCTATGTTGACGGAACCCCCGTACCCCTTCTTATCGTTCCACCTTGGTCCACCACTCATGTCCAGCGCCATATTCCAATCCAGCCAACCCCTCACGTAATTATTCAGAGTCTATAGATATACACAAAAATTATTAATATGACTTAGAGTCCAGAATATTCTGTACAAAAAATAAGAAAAAGTATTCAAAGCCTACATTAATTAATCAGTTCATAGACCAGATAGTCTATTAATTTAGATTGTAGATTGTATCAAGCACACACACACACACACACTGTATATACCTTAATGATATCGGAGGCATAGCTTTCACCGGCACTCCACAGCCCTAAATCGGGTCCCTGGATATGACAGGCCTTTGTGCTTAATAGAAACATATCGGTGTAGTTCTCCTGTATTTCCGTCGGGAATCCGTCCGGATATCCAACGTACCAGTGAAAGGCAATGCCCGACACATATTTCGCTGCATCCCTGTCCTCTAATACTGTCGGTACGAAATTCTCGAAAACGTTGAGATTTTCATCGAATACCATTAGATTGAGTTTGTCTTTGCCATACCCGGCCTTCGCGAGGGTCGGACCCAAATTGAGTTTCACGAAATCCCGTTCCATAGGGCCGGTTAGGTTCAGGCAGTTGAAGCCTTTGCCTGGGGTCCCTTGTGTTGGCTCATTCTCGACTGTAAGCCCCCATAGGTTTATGTCATGCGATTTGTATGCGTCCAGAAATCTACAATCGATTAAAAGGTTAATTGTTTTGATTTGTTTATTGCATAATATATTATATGAAATGCAAATTACTTCACGAAATAGTTGGCCCACGACTGGTAGTACTCCCCGCCGACAGTGCCCCTCAATTCCCCCCCATGATTGAACATGTGGTTAGTCTTCATCCAAGAGGGGGGACTCCAGGGGCTGCCGAAGAGTTTTATTTTATGCGGACTTACTTTCAGCGCTCTTTGAATGTATGGGATCTACGGATCAGTTTTTATGTATTAGTTTTGAATACAAAGTTATGTTAAATAAAGTTAAAGAGTTTTTACATACTTTCCACTCCAAGTCCTCCTTTTGAAGGGCAAGTCTGTGCCGGCCATCGGTATTCTGGCCATTGAGTACTCGATGCCATTGTCCGAGAAGTAGCTATCAATCAACAGATCAGCCAACGATTGGTTGACTGTCTTCAGCATCTGTCCCGTTGTGTCAGTGAAAGCGCCGCCAAATCCAAAGATTGTCTGATATTTCTGTGTCTTATCGATAGTCACGACAACCGTTTGGTCGGCCGTTGAGTCGATGGTTGAGCCGAACTGGAGTTCCGTTTCCTTAAACCTTTCTCCGGCTTTATTGCTCTCATAAACCGTAAGGAAACCACTCTTTGGGCGCTTGAGGGCCGGGAAGTCATCACAATATGTTNATATTATTTTAGGAGGAAAGGGATGATAAGGCAGTTCAGTAAATAATACTTACGGTATATTAATAACTATTCCCTGTAATATTAGTAACAGTTTGTAAACATGGTAAATTTTTCATAAAATGGTTTTTTTGTACAAAATAACTTAAACTTTTTTCTAGTAATTTGTTAAATGTTTGTTTTTTATGCCTTTACTTAATAAAATTATTTTATCTAATATTTAAATACAATTTTTTGAAACAATTTTTAATTAAATGTCTTCTCGTAGCAAATATTGAGTAATTTATAAAATTATAGAAATTGTTAAAAAGTTATTATAATTATTAAACTTTATTTGAATAAAATTATTACAAGTATTCACCAAATATACGACTGAATAGAATGTGCGGGGATTTTATGGGAGACCTTACGACTGGACTCTTGGATAGTGAGCACAATATCGTCGGCGCGTGTATTGAGTGCCACCAAAACCGTCTGATTGTCGGGTCTCTGGACTGTAAGGACCGTAAAACTCGGCACAGATTTGTCGACTGTGTGTCCGATTCGCACCGATTCTGGAGGAATAAATTTGCTGAAGTGTCCGAGCGCGTAAAACGAGGGCTGTTTGTAGGCCTCCCCCCTATACGGGTCTATGTTGACGGAACCCCCGTACCCCTTCTTATCGTTCCACCTTGGTCCACCACTCATGTCCAGCGCCATATTCCAATCCAGCCAACCCCTCACGTAATTATTCAGAGTCTATAGATATACACAAAAATTATTAATATGACTTAGAGTCCAGAATATTCTGTACAAAAAATAAGAAAAAGTATTCAAAGCCTACATTAATTAATCAGTTCATAGACCAGATAGTCTATTAATTTAGATTGTAGATTGTATCAAGCACACACACACACACACACTGTATATACCTTAATGATATCGGAGGCATAGCTTTCACCGGCACTCCACAGCCCTAAATCGGGTCCCTGGATATGACAGGCCTTTGTGCTTAATAGAAACATATCGGTGTAGTTCTCCTGTATTTCCGTCGGGAATCCGTCCGGATATCCAACGTACCAGTGAAAGGCAATGCCCGACACATATTTCGCTGCATCCCTGTCCTCTAATACTGTCGGTACGAAATTCTCGAAAACGTTGAGATTTTCATCGAATACCATTAGATTGAGTTTGTCTTTGCCATACCCGGCCTTCGCGAGGGTCGGACCCAAATTGAGTTTCACGAAATCCCGTTCCATAGGGCCGGTTAGGTTCAGGCAGTTGAAGCCTTTGCCTGGGGTCCCTTGTGTTGGCTCATTCTCGACTGTAAGCCCCCATAGGTTTATGTCATGCGATTTGTATGCGTCCAGAAATCTACAATCGATTAAAAGGTTAATTGTTTTGATTTGTTTATTGCATAATATATTATATGAAATGCAAATTACTTCACGAAATAGTTGGCCCACGACTGGTAGTACTCCCCGCCGACAGTGCCCCTCAATTCCCCCCCATGATTGAACATGTGGTTAGTCTTCATCCAAGAGGGGGGACTCCAGGGGCTGCCGAAGAGTTTTATTTTATGCGGACTTACTTTCAGCGCTCTTTGAATGTATGGGATCTACGGATCAGTTTTTATGTATTAGTTTTGAATACAAAGTTATGTTAAATAAAGTTAAAGAGTTTTTACATACTTTCCACTCCAAGTCCTCCTTTTGAAGGGCAAGTCTGTGCCGGCCATCGGTATTCTGGCCATTGAGTACTCGATGCCATTGTCCGAGAAGTAGCTATCAATCAACAGATCAGCCAACGATTGGTTGACTGTCTTCAGCATCTGTCCCGTTGTGTCAGTGAAAGCGCCGCCAAATCCAAAGATTGTCTGATATTTCTGTGTCTTATCGATAGTCACGACAACCGTTTGGTCGGCCGTTGAGTCGATGGTTGAGCCGAACTGGAGTTCCGTTTCCTTAAACCTTTCTCCGGCTTTATTGCTCTCATAAACCGTAAGGAAACCACTCTTTGGGCGCTTGAGGGCCGGGAAGTCATCACAATATGTTGAGTTACAGACACAGACTGTGTCCGCTTCCTTCACTTTTCTTGCGATACATTCCCGTCGGGCGCCGACTGTTTGTATTTAAAATCAATGATATATACTCTCAAAATAAAATTACAATTAAAATGATAATTATTTTCTCAGAAATACCGTTTATAGCAAAAAAGGTTATAACGAGTAAAACGCCAAATATTTTATACATATTTGTTGCCAATACTTAAAATACAATATAAAAACAAAACTCTTTGCTATTTATATGATTTGGTTTTTATCGATAACTGTATTTCAAACACAATTCTGTGAAGTATTTTTCAAACCAACTCTTAATGTTATTTTCATGTTTTGATAGGTCATATGAATAATTAAACATTATAAAGTAATGTTCTGGTTCCCTATGATTGCTAACATTATTTGAACCAGGTTCCCGGTAACTGCATGTTGGATTAAATTTTATAATTGTTTTAACGTTCTTAACAATTTAAAATAGGATTTCACTTAAACCTTGACAATAAGAATTGTGGAAATAATAATTTTATCAAATGTACTCACCGAGGGGATTTCAAGATACTAAATTTATCAAATGTTTTAAATATAAATTTTTACATCATAATGTATTTATTATGTGCACATTAATTGTCAAGGTTTAAGTGAAATTCTATTCTAAATTGTTAAGAACGTTCAAACGATTATAAAGTTTTATCAAATGTGCACACTACAACATAGGCCATGTACAATTAATAATAGATAATAACATACAGTAATGCACAATATTAATACATTTCATTTGCCACAACTTGCTACTTAAATGTTTAATGAAATTAATTTATAAAATAATTTTAAAGAATTGTTAAAATAAATTTAAGCATATTTACAATTTCAAGCGAGATATATTTATTTTTATAAATTTTAATTTATTGTTAATTGTGTGTTTATGTATTTACTTAACAAAATTATTTTATCTAATATTTAAATACAATATTTTGAAACTATTTTTAATTAAATGTCTTCTCTCAGCAAATATTGTGTAATATATAAAATGATGGCAATTATTAAAAACTTATTAATATATAAGTTAAATTTTATTTGAATAAAATTATTACAAATGTTCACCAAATATACGACTGAAGAGAATTAGCGGGGATTTTATGTGAGACCTTACGACTGGACTCTTGGATAGTGAGCACAATATTGTCGGCGCGTGTATTGAGTGCCACCAAAACCGTCTGATTGTCGGGTCTCTGGACTGTAAGGACCGTAAACCTCGACACAGATTTGTCGACTGTGTGTCCGATTCGTACCGATTCCGGGGGAATAAATTTGCTGAAGTGTCCGATCGCGTAAAACGAGGGTTGTTTGTAGGCCTCCCCCTTAGTCGGGTCTATGTTGATGGCACCCCCGTACCCATTCTTATCGTTCCACCTTGGTCCACCACTCATGTCCAGCGCCATATTCCAATCCACCCAACCCCTCACGTACTCATTTAGAGCCTATAAACATACACAACAATTATCGACATATGATTGAGAATCCAGAATATTCTGTACAATAAAGAAAAGTATTCAAAGCCTACATAACTTATACATAACTAATCACATAGATCATCTAATTATTTAGATTGAATCAAGCAGACACACACACACATATATATACCCTGATGATATCGGAGGCATAGTTTTCACCGGCACTCCACAGCCCTAAATCGGGTCCCTCGAGATGACAGGCCTCTGTGCTTAATAGAAACATATCGGTGTAGTTCTTCTGTATTTCAGTCGGAAATCCGTCCGGATATCCACCGTAATGGTGATAGGCGATGCCCGACACGTATTTCGCTGCCTCCCTGTCCTCCAGTACCGTTGGTACAAACTTCTCGAAAACGCTGAGATTGTCGTCGAATACCATTAGATTGAGTTTGTCTTTGCCATACCCGGCCTTCGCGAGGGTCGGACCCAAATTGAGTTTTACGAAATCCCGTTCCATAGGACCGGTTAGGTTCAGACAGTTGAAGCCCTTGCCTGGGGACCCTTGTGTGGGCTCATTCTCGACTGTAAGCCCCCATAGGTTTATGTCATGTGATTTGTATGCGTCTAGAAATCTGTGGTAAACTCAAGGGATAAGTGTTTTGATGTGTTTAATGCATAATATATTATATGAAATGCAAATTACTTCACGAAATAGTTGGCCCACGACTGGTAGTACTCGCCGCCGACAGTACCCCTTAATTCCCCCCCATGATTGAACATGTGGTTAGTCTTCATCCAAGAGGGGGGACTCCAGGGGCTGCCGAAGAGTTTTATTTTATGCGGACTTACTTTCAGTGCTCTTTTAATGTATGGGATCTACGGATCAGTTATTACTTAATTATTAGTTTTCAATACAAAGTTAAAAAAATTAAATAGTTTTTGCATACTTTCCACTCCAAGTCCTCCATCTGAAGAGCAAAGTGTTTGAGCTCCAGATCTCCGTCGACGTCATCGTAAGAGTAGGGTCTGTACGAGAAGTCTGTGCCGGCCATCGGTATTCTGGCCATTGAGTACTCGATGCCATTGTTCGAGAAGTAGCTATCAATCAGCAGATCAGCCAACGATGGGTTGACTGTCTTCAGCATCTGTCCCGTTGTGTCAGTGAAAGCGCCGCCAAATCCAAAGATTGTCTGATATTTCTGTGTCTTATTGATAGTCACGACAACCGTTTGGTCGGCCGTTGAGTCGATGGTTGAGCCGAACTGGAGTTCCGTTTCCTTAAACCTTTCTCCGGCTTTATTGCTCTCATAAACCGTAAGGAAACCACTCTTTGGGCGCTTGAGGGCCGGGAAGTCATCACAATATGTTGAGTTACAGACACAAACTGTGTCCGCTTCCTTCACTTTTCTTACGACACATTCCCGTCGGGCGCCGACTGTTTGTATTTAAAATCAATGATATATACTCTCAAAATAAAATTGCAATTAAAATGATAATAATTTTCTCGGAAATACCGTTTATAGCGAAAAAGGTTATAACGAGTAAAACACTAAATATTTTATACATATTTGTTGCCAACACTTAACATACAGTATATAAAAAACAAAACTCTTCTCTATTTATATGATTAGGTTTTATCAATAATTGTATTTCAAACACAATTCTGTGAAGTATTTTCAACACTTAATATTATTTTCAAATCTTTTAATAGTTTAATAGGTTTTATCAATTACGGTACAGTATTAAGCATTATAAAGTAATGGTGAGGTTGTCTATAATTGTAACTGTATTTTAACCAAGTTCCCGGTAAGTGCATGCTTGATAAAACAATATTTTTAATCATTTTAACGTTCTTAACAATGTAGAGTAGTACTTGACTCAGGTATATATCATTTGAAACCTTGACAATAAATGTGCACCAATTCAATTTATTATAATATAACAATTAATATTGATAATATTTGGTAAATAACTTTATTACTGACCATGGTCACGGACCAGGTCGTGGCGTATATTCCTATAATCACTCTAAGAGACAATAAATTGGATATTATTTTAGGAGGAAAGGGATGATAAGGCAGTTCAGTAAATAATACTTACGGTATATTAATAACTATTACCTGTAATATTAGTAACAGTTTGTAAACATGGTAAATTTTTCACAAAATGGTTTTTGTGTACCAAAAAGCTTAAACTTTTTTTGCTAGTAATTTGTTAAATGTTTGTTTTTTATGTATTTACTTAACAAAATTATTTTATCTAATATATAAATACAATTTTTTGAAACAATTTTTAATTAAATATTTTTTCAATGCAAATATTGAGTAATTTATAAAATTATAGAAATTGTTAAAAAGTTATTATAATTGTGGACCTGGAACACATTTCGGGGACTTTTGTATAGCATAGAAAATATAGTCATGTAGTGAAAAGCTTTAAATTACCAACTTACGATTACACATTTTAAAAACTCACCTTACTCATTCATACAAATACATTAATTCATGTTCAATGTGTAATCGTAAGCTG